CACACACACGGCCAACTACTCCCACCGTGACACTAAACAATCAAAACAAGATCAAAATCAAGACTTTTTTATTACCGAAAGATGAGCAGCTGTCGACCCCCTCGAGCATGACGACGGCGGTGAGGATGAAGACGAAAGAGAGGAGGAAGGTGAGGACGAGGATCAAATGGAAAAGGGTCCTGTACCAGGATCCACGAGGGGCAATCTTGACCCTCATCAAACCCGGCATCCCCGTCTCTTTGCTGCCATTGAGGATGCTCCCATTACCGTAGTGTTGATGGTGTTAGGATGCTGTGGAGGGGGAGGATGATTATGGTGAGGGTGAGGTTTCCTGGGTGAGAGAATATCTCACGAATATTTCACTAAAATCGCATTAATTATGACGACATCCATCACCAGCTCCATGGGTTAAGGAGAAGGTTTCTGGGTGAGAGAGAGAAGAGTGCATTTTTGATAGGTTTGTCAAAATACACACAATATATGTATAAAGGTGGACTTTTGGGGCTGTGCCATAATTTTTTCACTTTTTTAGGGCTAAAGGCTAAGGGGGTTTATTAGTTGGGATATTTTGAGGGATAATGGGATAATTTTAAGGATTCTATTTCATAGTCTTATTCATTGGGAAAATGGAACAAGGATAATACATTTTTGTGTTATTGGTTTTTTTAAACACAAGTGAGACAATTACACCACTTAGGATAAAAATACCCAACTCATATATAAATTTTTTTTCCAATAGTAAAAATTTACCCCATCCTCCATATTGGAACAATGTTGTTCCACTTTGAAGGCAATTGGGATAATTTTAAAATATTTTTGTATTACTTAACTAATTCATGCAATTATATTATAAATATATGACATGATATATAAAATATAACATATATTAATATTTTAATGATATTATTTAATAACATATATTAATAATATTATATAACAGTAATTATAGTATAACGTATTTATTATAATATTATATAATATTGTAATAACATATATTAATAATATTATATAATAAAATATATTAATATTTTAATAACATATATATAATATTTTAATAACATATATTAATAGTATTATGTAATATATTATTATATAATATTAATTAGTAATTATAGTATAACGTATTTATTATAATATTATATAATATTTTAATAACATATATTAATAATATTATATAATAAAATATATTAATATTTTAATAACATATATATAATATTTTAATAACATATATTAATAGTATTATGTAATATATTATTATATAATATTAATTAGTAATTATAGTATAACGTATTTATTATAATATTATATAATATTTTAATAACATATATTAATAATATTATATAATAAAATATATTAATATTTTAATAACATATATATAATATTTTAATAACATATACTAATAGTATTATGTAATATGTTATTATATAATATTAATTAATAATTATAGTATAACGTATTTATTATAATATCATATAATATTTTAATAACATATATTAAAATTTTAATAACATATATTAATAATATTATATAATAACATATATTAATATTTTAATAACATATAT